AAGAAAAAAAGGACTTGAAGGGATATACATGTTAGTGGTCGGAAAATAACCTGTGTAGCAGAATTATGAAAAATAGAAAACCAGTTATATATATATTTAAAATAAAACATCCACATTTGCGGTTTATCTTCTTGTAAAAATATACTCTTTCAGTCTCGTTGGAACAACTATAGCCTTTTTAATTATATATATATATATATATATATATATATATATAATATATAAAAAATAATTTATTCAATATGTTAAATGTCATTACTGTAATACTCAAAAATGTTTAGATTAAAATAAATATATATATATATATATATATATATATATATATATATATATATATATATATATATAAATGTGTGTATGGATGTGTGTGTGTGTGTGTGTGTGTGTGTCTGGCGAAGATAAAATCCACAAATCAGACTGTCTCCTTATGAAAATTTTTAAAGGGCGGCTGTCAGAGACAAGAGGTTAATGACTGTACTTCCCAGTTTTGTGCTATACTGTCGTTTGATAAAGGCAAATTTTTTCCTGAAAAAAATATGACTTTGTATTTGTGTCCTGCATTGGACTTATCAGTCACAAACGTTCCTGCAAGCGACGTGTACAGACACCCTCGTGATCTTTTTTGAAAAATAAGGAATTATATATATATATATATATATATATATATATATATATATATATATAATTCCAAGAGGAAAAAATCCAAATTAGATTCCTTTTTTTATCCAGGACAGAGCAAGAATATAACATAAAAAGCTCAAATACTAATATTCCTTGAAATTTTTATATATATATATTATATATATATATATATATATATATATATATATATATATATATATATAGTGAAAATTTTCAAGTTAAAACTGTATATAAAACATAATATTTATAAATATAAATGACATAAAAAAACTGTAGACAGGGAAAAATATTATTTTGGGTTTCGTTTTGGATTTTTTCAAAGCAAAAACGAAATGAATTTTTGAAACTAATAATAATAAAAAATATTTTTTTGAAAGAACATTTTTTTATTATTATTATAAAATTCATTAGAAGTAGTAGTTTTAGTAGTAGTAGTAGTAAAGTTACGTTCTTTAATTAAATTCATCATTTCGTTTTTTTCTTTTGACAAAAAAAACATTGACGAAAAAATATATATATATATATATATATATATATATACAGATTCTTTGCTAAATATATATATATATATATATATATATATAAATATATATATATATATATATGCAGAATATTTTTTTTAAACATCTTTCGCTAAATATGAAGAAAAGGAAAATTTTTTTTTTTTTTTCTTTAGTTATCTCACCGTTCTTAATTTAGCCATTTGGTGGGTGTAATGTAGTGCAAAAATTGTCCATATCGTCCATTGTCCCAAGCGCTTTCGGCCATTTCTTAGACAATTTTCAGTCGGATTGTTTTTTTTCTTTTTTGGATCTATTGTCATTTTGTCTTCTCTTCATTTTTTTACTGTTTAAGATGTATTTTATGTTGTTTTGAATAGTATTCAATAAAAATCTCTAAGTTAAACAAATTGATTGATTTTTAGATGTTTAATATACAGGTCCATCTTTTTACAGTGAAATGTTTTTTAAATGATTTGTATAGAATTTTAAGAATTTTCGACCAGAATATAAATTAATAATTTGATAGATGTTTTAACAGAACTTTGACCCGATGAATGAAAAATGTGAAGCAAATAGATGAGCAGGTAGTAGCTTGTCCAATAAGAAAAATTGATTTATGACAAGAAACAAATGTATTTTTATACTTGAAAGTGAAATTGATATATATATATATATATATACATATATATTTATATATATATATATATATTTATATAGAGAGAGATTTAATAGAGAGAGAGAGAGAGCTTACGGTCAAATCACGCTGAAAACACCGGTTCTCGTTCGATCACAGAAGTTAAGCATCGTAGAGCCAGGTCAGTACTTAGATGGGGACCGCTTGGGAACACCTGGTACTGTAAGCCCCCAAAGTCCAACCCTTACCTCACAGTCGGTGGGGGGTGTAAACGGTAGTGTCAGAGTTATATGCCCGGAACTTCGTTCCTGGTAGGGCCACCCAAGGCGGACAGGTCTGACACACACGCCGGCTAACAAGGGCTCTGGTGAAAATCCAAGGAGCGTCTGCATCGGTAACCGGCGGCTTCTGGTCGTTCCTGTCTCTGCGTCTCTGGGAACCCCGCGGCAAGCAAGAACGTTATCCGAGTAGGCCTGGGTACCCTACTTCTGTAATTTATCCCAAGAATCTTCTTCTCATAACAGGAAGAAGCCGGCTCAATCCGCCCAGGGTGAATGCCGCATCAGTACAGTACAGTATACATATATATCTACATATATTTAGAACATACATAAAATATATATTTAATTGGCTTTTTGTATTCGAGGATTTTGTCTTGTGGTTTATTATGACATATTTTTTTACAGAACAGAGCTTAAAAGGCATAATCACAAATTTGTTCTATGCACAGAGCCATTCCAAAGGTTTATATTTACAAATATAAAATTTTACAAGAAGTTATTACTTTTTGAGAAAGACCGTATTAAAATCGTGAAAAGAAATTGAACAAGTCCAGCACGCTCGATCCTCAAAAGAGAGTTCATTTTCACATCAAAAATTACTTTCACTTTAAAATCTTGGGTCTTCAGGATCCTTCAGACCGATGACATCAGGAAATCTCCTTTCTGACAAATCAACCGTGATGATTCAAAGATTCATGTTGCCATAGATTTAAATAGTCAGAAAACCGATATATATATATATATATATATATATATATATATATTTGTATATTTAGGCAGCAATTCTTCCTTTATGCATAAGAATTCAAAAAACGACAGACAAGGTATGACCGAAAATAAATTCACCAAATTGAAAAAGAAATCAATTTTATTTTGAGACTTTAAAAGGTTTAACCTTTTTGTTAACAGCTAACAACGCGGAATTTCCCTGAAAATACAAAAAAGTTGGAGATTACCAAACCGGGATACCTATATGGAAACATAAAAACACATAAAGAAAACAGGATACCAATTTTACGATCAATTATTTCCTAGATATTTTTTCTTTATTTACGAGCTAAAAAAATTCCTTAACGACATCATCACTACACTTTACCTTAACATACAAAGAGTGTCGTTTTAATAAAAAAAAGAAAAATATAATGAATATATATATATATATATATATATATATATATAGTCCAATCTATGAAAAAAAAACAAATAAAATTTAAGAATTTTATGGGTTACAGTATCTTAGAGAAAATGAAAAAAATTGGCAAAAAATAAACATTTTTAAGGAGAGACAACATGTAAAGTAAAGAAATTAAGAAGATAGACGTTAACGATTGACATTTCGTTTAAACTTTTTGAAGATCAAAGTTGACTAGGAAGCAAGACGTCGGAAGAGAGTTCCACAATGGAGAGGTACGATAGAATTTTATTAAAGCATAGGAATTACTATTACATGAAGCCATTTCAACTGTAAAAAGAATATATGATAATATGATGATGATGGTATATGATAATGATTGAATGATGATGAAATATATGATGATGATATGATGAAAAAACAGATGATATATATATAATGAAATGATGATGAGAAAAAATGATGATGATGATTATGATAAATGTTGTTTCTTATAAAAAACTTAAAAAATGCATGGCATAATTATTTAGAAAGACCTCTGTACTTAGAAGAATATAGGATATAATTTATATAAAAAAAAATATGACATTAAAATAAATCCATTAATTGTTTATAACTTATATAAATATAAAAAAAAATCTGTTGGCAATATGTGGCAGGTGACAATAAAAAAAAAAGCACTCATTCTTATTTACGGTGAATTCGTTTAAATCATATACTGTCTATTGTATTCGTCACGTGGCAATAATTGTAAGTAAAATTGTGCACTAAAATAAGTAACCAAGTAATCGTTTTAAGTTGTCTGAATATCGGTGTCCGAATAAGGAAAAATAACGACGAGACAAATGGGAAGGAGAATGGGAAACAAAACGAAAAGAATTCAAAGATTAAAGAAAGGATGCTGGAAATGAAAATTAAGAATAATGATTTTAAAAAAATATCAAGAAGAAAAAAACGAGAAAAATAAATAAAATAATCTTCTATTATCAGGACGTGTGTGTTAATGGCTTCCCATAACTTATAATTCTGAGAAACTTCCTATTCCGTCATCCACGAAAATGAGGACTAAGTGTGAATGAAAAAATGAATGAAAGTATAAATGAATGAATAATTAAATAAATATTTGAATAAGAAAAGTATATTGCAAATATACAGTCAAAATCCAATAAAATTACAAACTTTTCATCCATTAAATAAAAACAATAAACTGAAAACTGATTTAAAACAAATCCCAAACTACAAATTAAATGAAGAAAAAAAAATATTTGTCATTCTTGTTTACACATTTTGGGAGCTCTCATTGTCAACAGATAACTTGTCATATCAACAGTCATCTTTTTCTTTCTTTTTTTTCTTCATTTAATTTGTAGTCTGGGATTTATTTTAAATCATTTAGTTTATTTTTTATTTAATGGATGAAAAGTTTGTAATTTTATTGGATTAGAAAAGTATATAAGACTGGCTAAATGTTTAAGGAAAAAATATAGGAGAAAGAAAGAAAGAAAGAAAGAAAGAAAGAAAGAAAGAAAGAAAGAAAGAAAGAAAAGAATTAGTCGAGAAAGAAAAAAAAAGAAACGAATTAGTCGAAAAAGAAATAAGAAAAGAATTAGTAAGGAAGGAAGGAAGGAAGGAAGGAAGGAAGGAAGGAAGGATGGAAGGAAGGAAGGAAGGAAGGAATTTGTCGAGAAAGAAAAAAGAAGAAAAGAAGTCCAGCAGTAAAGAAAGAAAGAAAGAAAGAAAGAAAGAAAGAAAGAAAGAAAGAAAGAATTAGTCAAGAAGAAACAAAGAAAATTATTCAAGAACAATTATTAATGAGTAGGGGGGAAAAAGAAAGAAAGAAAGAAATATTCGAGAGCATCAAAATTGGCAATAATAAGAAAGAAAGAAGGTAAGAGAGAAGTTTGGAATGAAAGAAAGAAACAATGGAAATAAATTTGAAAAAAAAAAGAAAGAAAGAAAGAAAGAAAGAAAGAAAGATGGAAAGAAATATTCGAGAACCCAAAAATTAGCAGTGAGAAAAAAGAAAGAAAGAAAGAAAGAAAGAAAGAAGGGAAGAAATATTCGAGAGCCTAAAAATTAGAAATGAGAAGAAAGAAAAAAAAAAAAACAGATGAAAAAAAAGAAAGAAAGAAGGACAGAAGGAAGGAAATAAATATTCGAGAATCTAAAAAATAGCAATGAAAAGAAAGAAAGAAAGAAAGAAAGAAAGGAGGGGAGAAATATTCGAGAGCCTAAAAATTAGAAATGATAAGAAAGAAAAAGAAAGAAAGAAATATTCGAGAATCTGAAAAATAACAATGAAAAAAAAAAAGAAAGAAACGAAGGCAAGAAAGAACAAAGAATTAGTGAGGCAAATGGATTGAGCGAGTAAGAAAAGAAAGAAAGAAAGAAACGGAATGAACGGAGAGAAAACTGAAAGAAAGAAAAGAAAGAAAGAAAAAATTAGAAAGAAAAAAGAAAATTGAGAAGAAAAAAGTAAAGAAAGAAAGAAAAAAAAAAGAAATATTCGAGAAATTTGAAATTTTTAATGATGATATGAAAGAAAGAAAGAAAGAAAGAAAGAAAGAAAGAAAGAAAGGAGGGAAGAAATATTCGAGAATCTGAAAATTAGCAAAGAAAGATAAAAAGAAAGAAAGAAAGAAAGAAAGAAAGAAAGGAGGGAAGAAATATTCGAGGATCTAAACATTAGAAATGAGAAGAAAGAAAAAGAAAGAAATATTCGCGAATCTGAAAATTATCAATGAAAAGAAAGAAAGAAAGAAAGAAAGAAAGAAAGAAAAGAGGGAAGAAATATTCGAGGATCTAAACATTAGAAATGAGAAGAAAGAAAAAAGAAAGAAATATTCGCGAATCTGAAAATTATCAATGAAAAGAAAGAAAGAAAGAAAGAAAAAAAGAGGGAAGAAATATTAAAAGAGGGAATTTATTAAATTTTGGGGTCGAAAAGAAAGAAAGAAGAAAGAAAATTTCAAAAAAGAATTAAAGAAAAGAATCAAAAAATAGGAAAAGAAAGAAAGAAAGAAAGAAAGAAAAAAGAAAAAAAGAAATAAAAAGAAAGAAAAGAAAGAAAAAAAAGAAAATGTTTGAAAATATTCGAGAATCTAAAAATTAGCAACCAGTAGAAAGAAAGAAAGAAAGAAAAAGAGATAAAGATAGAAAGAAAGATAGAAAATTACAGAAATTAATAATAAATGGAATACCAGCAAAGACCAAAAAATAATAATGAAAAGAAATAAAGAACGAAAGACAAGTGGGTGGGGGAGAAAGAAAAAAAAATCACCAAGATAGAAAGAAAGGAAATAAATTACAATGTCAGGAATTAGTATAAGAAATAATGAATGGGCAGTCAAAAAAAAAAAAAAAACTGTGGGTCGGGGTGTGTAGGGACATCAATAAAAAAAAAATAAATGAATAACGATAAAAGGAAAAGATATTATGTATTTTTTTTTTTAAATGGCAACCGACATAAAAAAAAAAGAAGAAGAAAAAATATCCTTTCTGATCAGGCGACCATTAAGAACACTTGAGGAGCGTCCATTGCGGTAATGTGAAATCATGAGAATAAGACATGCCTAGGCGGGGGCGGAGTCCACGTCGGTGCAAATTTTCCGGAACACACCTGATGCCCCTGCGGACAGTAATAACCTCGAAATTTCTTCAGCACTTTTCATAAAAAAGAAGGAAGCGACAGAAAACAAACAAATCACAGTTTTGAGGGAAGACTTACATCCATACATTTTAACATACATACATACATATATATATATACATATATATATATATATATATATATATATATATATATATATATATATATATATATATATATTCTGTTTATACGTTATTTTTATAGATATATATTTTTATTTCAGTAAATGTTCTGTTTTTTAATTAAACTGTATTAATTACATTTACCGGTCTGAATGTTCGAGAAATTTCGTCAAAAAAAATGTGCTTCTCGTATAGGAATCAAACCTGGAACTGAAAAACAGAAAATATTTTAAACAATTGCCGGACTTAATCCTTACATATTTTCTCTTGACGCGTTATTTTTATAGATACAAATGTTTAAGTAATTTTTTTTTTTTTTAAGCATTGTGCCCCAAGCAAGGCGTGAAGCCACTAGGATGCTGGGGGTTGCGGAAGATTTGGAGCGAGAGCAGATAAGAGTGATAGGAGAAAGGAAGAGGAGAAGGATAGTGGGTAGATCAAGGCAATTGGAGATGTCGATTGACATTACATTTGAATAGTTGGAGATTATAGCTCTCAGGGAAACAGTAATTGGGGAGGGTGTTCCACTGGCGAGAGGTGCGAGGTATGAAGCTATTGGAGTAGAAGAGACGGCTACATTTGAAGGTTTCTATGGTGTAAGGGTGGGAGCGGGATGCCAGCCTCGTAGGGCGCTTGAATTCATGGAGTCTGGGAACCAGAGAGAGCAGCTCATCAGAGCAGTTACCATGGAAGTATTTGTAGAAAAGACAGAGAGAGGCGACGGCGCGTCTGTGAGAGAGTGACTGCAGACAAGACGCTAGATCAGGGCCAATTAGATTACATATCCGTCTCTGGATCTTGTCAAGAACTCCGATGTAAGCAGAAGGTGCTCCAGCCCATATATGGCAGCAATACTCCATAAATGCGCGGTTTATAATAAACAGTATTAACGACATTTAGTGATCTGAATGTCCGAGAAATATAGAAAAATAGGAATCAAACTTGTATCCTATAGTGAAACCTTATATAGTCTGACATGCTATACCATTTAGCTAAAGTGGAAGCGACTGGTTAGCTAAATCAAATAATGGTTTGTTTGTTTTTCTTAATAGAGTGAAACGTTAGATTGAGATCTGTTTCCTACGAGTTCTTTATCCTGTCATTTTGTCAGATTTCTATCCATACTCGATTTATCTATCTATCTATCTATCTATCTATATACACACCATTTGGCAATTGTCCTCATCTTTACTTGTATATTCATGACGTTTCGGCCGTTGTACACACCAATTTTCTTCAGGTGATATAATTTCGAACTGAAACCTTTATTTCATCCAAAGTGGCACGTAGAACTTGAACAATCCACCCGGTGGACGAAATGAAGCGTCCGTTTCGAAATGCGTGCGTGTGTGTGTGTGTGTGTGTGTGTGTGTGTGTGTGTGTAGTGTGTGTCTATATGTGTGTGTTTGTAAGGGTATGAGTGTATGTGTGCATGTAGGGTGTGTGCGTGTGTGTTTCTAAGGTGTGCGTGCTTGTAAGGTGTGTGTGTGTGTATGCAATGTGTGTGTGTTTAGGGTGTGTCTGTGTTTGTAGTGTGTATGTGTGTGTTTATAGGATGTGTACTTGTGTGTGTCTGTTTGTAGGGCATATGTATGCGTTTTTGTAGGATGTGTGTGTGTGTTTTGTAGACTCTGTGTGTATGTAGGGTGTGTGCGTATATGTGTTTGTAGTGTGTGTATATGTGCTTATAGTGTGTGTTTGTAGGGTGTGTGTGTATATGTGCTTAAAAAGTGTGTGTGTTTGTAGGATGTGTGCGCTTGTGTGTGATTGTAGGATGTGTGTGTGTTTGTAATGCGTGGGTGTGTTTGTAATGTGTGTGTGTTTGTAGAGTGTGTGTGTGTGTGTTTGTAGGATGTGTGTGTTTGCAGTGTGTGTGTAGGGTGTATGACAGTAACCTTAAAAAATCGAAGTTGATGAGACAAAGTGGGAACTCTTATAAACGTAACATGATTTATATATATATATATATATATATATATATATATATATATATATATATATATATATATATATATATATATATATAATATATGTATCATAATATATATATATATATTATATAATACATAATATATATATATATATATATATATATATATATATATATATATATATATATTTAGTTTATGAAAAACTAGGTTTCCGTATGGGTAAACCTAAGGAGGATATAATCCAGAGAGCTCAATGTTTTATATGAGCTAATATTTTACTAGAAGTAAACTTATATTTTCTAATCGATTATTTCATAGAAAATCCCCAAAATTTAAATCACTAACAAACATCAAATTAAATTATTTGTAGACAGTCTAGAGATATTCAAATTTATATCAAGCATTATAATCTTTATGAACCCCCAAAATAACACTTTTAAAGTAAAACAAAATAACAGCGTCTGTTTCTAGCCTTTTTTACAAAGAAAATTAGTGACATCTTCTCTTCTCTTCTCTCTTAACTTCCTTCTCTCTTTTTCTCTCTATGAGTTTTTTTCTTCTCTACCCCTTCGATTTCAATATATAACTTCCGTTAAGTTAACCGTTTAAATGTGTCAATATCTGCTAACTCACTCATGTCTTCTCTCTCTCCCCTCACTTCCTCACTTCGTTAATTTACATATGTTTAATACGGCCCGTCAAAAATATGTAAATTTTCTTTTTCATTTTTGTTTGGAGATAAAGTCTGATGATCCGCAGTCCTTTTAAAAGGGCTGTGGTGAAATAATTTCTTACATGGAACCTTAAAAGTGGTCTGTTTTTTTATTATATATATATATATATATATATATATATATATATATATATATATATATATATATATATATATATATATATATATATATATATATATATATATATATATATATATATATATATATATATATATATATATCTTATAAATATAATATGATATATATGTAAATTAGTCTTATTTGTAACAAAGATTAAGATTTTAAACTCTTAAAATGGCGCGTATGTCCGACGTCTGTTGGTCTCGGCTTCTTCAATTCAGAAAGAATGATGACAAAACTGCGTGTAAGGAAACTCTTAGTATTTTTTTTATTTTCGGATAATAGGCGTAATAAATTAATTTAATTATCAGATCCGACAGCCAGAAACTAGAAATCCTTTGTGTGTGTGTATATCTATCTATCTATCTATATATATATATATATATATATATATATATATATATATATACACACACACACACAAATAAAATGGAAAAAACCCGACTAGACATCCGAATGCCTCAAGCCGGGATCGAAACCCAATCAATTTGGGGTCAGTATTTGTTTCTACCACTGAGGTATCTTCAGTCGGCCGAGTTACACAGCTAAATCTAGCGTATTGTTTTTACGAATGTAAACAAATGCTCATCAGCCGAAGTGCTCCATTCATTTTAATGAAGAGCTTTGCATTAGTGCAGGTGGCTGTTGTTTATAGAATTAGCATGTCATTCAACAATGCTCAGTTGAAATATATTTTCAAGAGCTAAATTATGTCATTCGCAGACAATACTATTTCTCTGTATCACACAGAGAGAGAGAGAGAGAGAGAGAGAGAGAGAGTAAAGTTAAAATAAATCCGTGGGTATATAATCTGAGTTGATCCTCGTAATCTAAAAATATTAAAACTGATCCATTAACGAAAGCTCGGTGTATTTTATTTATACAAAGCATACATGGATAATAATAATAAAAACAAAACTGTATACCTCATGTGGGGAATAGACTATCTCTGCAGACGATGAAAGTGGTCGACTGTCTTTTGAACCCCGATGCTGAATGACGTTCATGTCTGTAGATCGACGTGCTCCCCCTCCTTGTAGGGGGTGTACGCGCTTTATTTATCATCTCTCAGTTGCGTCTCTGTCCTCAGGGGGTTCTCTGTCTAGGGACGGAGGAGCAACTGAGGAAAATAATACTGAAGAGGTGCCCAGCCTTGGGGAACAGCTGCCAGAGGCCGCGCCCTTCCATTGCACCAGAGGGAGGGATCGGTGCTCGCACCGAGGCCAGCGCAACCGACAGTTGCGGGGGCTGTGG